AAAATTAAGAATGAATTCCAAAACGGGGGGATTTTCACAAAAATATTTTTGACAGAATTTTATTTAAGCTGGCTCTCAGGTAGAATGCTTAATTATAAGACTGTATGCAAAATTTAAACACAATTTACCGTGGAATTTTCGAGAAAATTGAACATTTGTCTGTTCGTGGGCCTTTCTCTAAAAGCCCTTCGTGTTGCTATGGCAACGCTGACGACGATACCTCTACAACTAATTGATGGGGCGTTATTAACTTGAAATTTGATGATGATCCGCTGAGCCTAACTTAAGTTGTTTTGGTCATAAATACACTAAATAGGCAAAAAAAAACTGTTTCGAGCCACCTTAACTGCATATCTACGTCTTCCTCTTTGTTTTGTTTTATTTGTTTGTTTTGTTTTTGCGACGAGAGACTTTTGGGAAGAAACAGGGTGTTCTTAATACTTTCAAGACAACAAAGATTTGGGGTAAAAGCTAGAATGATGTCAGAAATGTAGTGTGTTCTTAATGACTGCTTACCCTACAACTATTTTTCTGTCCTAATCTTTGGAGACAAAGATGGTTGTTAGACAACCAAATACTCTATTTCCTCTAATAACCAGCCATAGTCGCCCTCCCCGAAATAGTGGCCCACCACTATGGCCAAAATGATAAATACGCGCACCCTCCAATAAGTGCCCCCTCCCACTTCACTTTCTCAAACAAATTAGAGGGGATGCAAAAAGAAACCTGCTTGTATTGCCAGTATATTAATAAATTTTAAATAACGCCCGGGCACTTATTCGAGGAAATAGTGTATACCGCAATTACGTTCCAATATTGGACTTGCACCAATGCAGGTTGATGAGTAAGAAAGCGCATTGAAAAGATGAAGATGATAAGTTAAGGGATTTTCCTATAATTAAACATTCTTTTCAAATATCTGAACGGCAAATTTAAGCCTATCTTTAAATTTACCTCACGGCTTCTTTCCAAAGCGTTAAAAAGCGTTTGAGAGTACTTTTGTCGACTAAAACGCGGATTTGTACCATCATCAAGTTAGGACATGAAGCACCATGCAACAATTTCATCTACCCACCATAATGAATATCAGATGGAAGTCGTTAGAACGCATTTGAATTTTCAAATTTTTACGAGGGAGGAAACCTCTGCAATTTAATTAGAAACCCATATCGCCAAGGTTCTGTTCTGTTTTCGTTTTCAGTCCCTTCATGATTAAGTTAAAGAAAACGAAAAAAACCATCTCTTTAACAGGCCGCTACAATTGGCCAGAACCTAATTCAGAGCCAATGAACCCCGAGTTCTCTCAGACAGTTGGAAACTGGAAGTCTATTGTACCACTAAATTGCGCAACGTTTCGTTGTTAAATGAAAACAGATTCGAGTTACTGCAGCTCATACAACTTGAGAGAGACTTAAATGGGTAACTTAAAGCGCAAGCAAAGCTAAACTTCACCAAATGCCTTACCTATCCATCATGTCTGACAGTTTCAAGCGCTATCTCATTTCCATTCTCTTGCCTTCTATTTTCACAACAGCTAACTGTTCTCCAGGTAAGTGTTTTATCACATCCTTTGTTTTATTCAAGTTTTTCTTAGATTTTCCTTGTTCCCTTAATACTTCTAGATCCCTTCCGCTCTAGATGAGGCGGGCCTTTCTACGTAGAAACGAAAACCAAAAGCAAGCCCAAAGTTTTTCCATCTGCCGTTCTTCCCAAAACGTCATGACGAAGATTTATTGTATTCAAGCTATGTCTCAATTTATCCCAAAACGATTACATCTCCAAGCGCTTAGATATTTTGTACATAAAACCACTTTTTATCTTGATACAATCACTTATACCGTTTGAATGTAAAGTAAATTTCAACCAGTTTCTGCAATCTTACATCAGTCACATTGTACAAAAATTTCACCGGAAAATCTCCATAGCAGTATGCGTTGAGAAAAAGTATTTATAGGTCGCATTTCCAAGCACTTTCTTGGGGCCCCTGTTTTGAACAAAACTTTGTTTGCACTGTCTGCTAAATGTTGTTTTTCATCAATATTCTCGACCTTGTTTCAATTTGTTCAATCCTTTCTTATTCTAGTATTTTCTTAAAATAAGCTATGATATTTTACCATAATTCTCATTGTCTTCAATCGATCTTTCTCATTTATGTTATTCTACGGCTATCAGTTAATTTTGTTCCGTTGCGATTAAAAGATGTTTACGGCTAATTTCTTCTTTTTTTTTTATAACACTTATGGTTGAAATTTGTCAGTATTTTCGTCTGACGGTTAATTTGTTTTGCCGTTTTTCTTTTAACAATTAGCCCAGTGAGACCCTGGGCCTCTTATAAGGAATTCTTTCAACTTTCCTCAATGTGCCTCAGATTAAAAGCTCTAGAATACCATGTTTATTGATTGTACTGTGCAGTCCGCAGAAGGTGAAAAACAAAATCACCTCTCAATATGCAAATGCCTAAACGGTCTTTAAAAGCATTCAATTCTTTTTTACCTTCGAACGTAGCGATGCTGGTTAACAAACAGAGCGGGTAGGTTCATGCCAAAATTAAAGCAGCCGCTTGTTTTCCTCGAAATTGCATCAATATTTTCTATGCAGTGGCTAGACGTTGAACGTCCAATGTAGTTGAGCAAATCAAGTTGGTGTCGATTGCATCAAAAGATAGAGAAGAGCCAGTTAAATCTGTACCTGGTTCTATATTTAATTTAGGCGCATGTGGCAACACGAGGAATAGTTTTCCTTTACCGTAACTACACAATAATGATTTTCATATATTCAAAGTCGTTTAAGATATTTTTGTGTACATTTATAACAAGCCGGCCAAAACACGTTCAGCAGAATATCAAACAGTTCGTCGCACGGGTGGATGGAAATGCTGTACATGTAAGAGTAAGAGCTGGAAATTGACTCCAATATTATATGCCTGGAGTTCACACTCTTAACAGATGACCGCCATAGTTCCTTCCGTAAATCATCGATAACGTCTTCCAATATCCCTTTGATTTCCATTTTATAACTCGGGAACAATTGTTTTTCGGGTAAGATTTTTTTAATTTCCGCGATAAGGTATAAATTTGTTTACTAGTAGGTTTCAGTGGGGTAATGGCTTTTATAACTAACGGTAAAAATTTTGGCTTTGTTAAAACTACCACTTAATTTCTTTCCACCAAGTCTAAAAAATCGAAATTTTACAGTTAACTTTGTTTACGACTGACGGTTAACATCTATCAGTTACTTGGTCGCTTGGTCCACTAGTTAGCTAATCAAATTATTTGAACCATTCGAAAAAAGGATTCTGATTGGCTTATTGTCACGTGCTTAATGAGATTAGAGAGCTTGCTGACGACAGTGTTGTTCGCTTTTGACATAAACTTTGTTTTGACTGATTGTAATGCGTGGGGAATAAAACGGATTCTTTACTATGAAATAAATAGAGAAGCCTTGACTGTGCTCTGTTCTGTTGTAAAGCACTTAGGAAGCGGCTTAAGTACTCAAGAACTGGGGAGAAACACTCGACTACGTCTCGTTAATAATGTGACAAAACTTTATTATGGCAATTGACAGGCAAATTATTGCTGAACCGAGCAGCATTCTAACCAAATATTTTTACGTGTATAAACTAAGACAGAACAGTTGACATACGAAACAGTTTGACAGCCAATGGTTTAACCGGCGACAGCCAAGTTTCTAATGTTTCAGGCATACGTTTTAAGGGCCAGGTCTTTTCTAATCGTGCTCCGTATCATGTATTCTGTTTCTGTCTCCCTTCTTTTATTGGAGCTCTGCTTTATGATACCCAAGGCTGTCAGGTCACAAGGTTAGTTTCAGCATGACTCATATTCAATTCATGTTTTCTTTGGTTTGAGTTATCGTTACTTTTGGAGAAACGTTATATTCAAATTAAGAGAATTCGTCATTAGGTCAGAAAATTAGCTTCATCCACGTATATTTACTGGAGAAATGTTAAATTTTGGGAGACTTGGGAGAAAGTTATGCAAACCCGAGGCACTGTCGAGGGTTTGTATATCCCTTTCCTTTTAAACACTTTCTACAAGATAGAAATAAAAAAAACAGAAAAAAAGAAAAAAAAGAAATAGAAAAAAATTCAAGTCTAACACAATTGATAATGAAATGTCACTTACCACATTTTCCGTCATTCTTGCATATCATCAAAAGCAATAATGTTACGTTTAATGTATTTATTATTTCCATTTCAAAGACGTCTGCGTCACAGACCAGTGTCGAACCACAAGCAAAAGTTAAGTCCAGATTAAGAATGAGAGAATATATTAATATTTCGCGGCTCATCAGTACTGCTTGTAACCTACAAGGTGGCTGTTGATCGATTCATTTTGAGTACATTTTTTTCAGTCTGTAAAAAGCAAAAATTATGTATAGTGGTCATGAGAAAACAAAAACTACGTTTACCCTATTAAGAACAGTATGTAAAGGAGGCCTACACAATTATTGTTGTTTTTACAGATGTTGGTGCTTCTATTTTTTTTTGTACGATAATTTTGTTTTTATTTATTTGTGTATTTTTTTGTTCAGACATCAACGAATGTATTCGTGGGCTACACAAGATAGGTCGAGGAGGATTCTTGGAGGACTGTAGAACATTTAGTGCCGATTAACTTGCCAATAAGGAAGGATTACAGATCACAGGAATATTACAGAATCTTATGTGGGGGGAGAGGGGGATTAGATTACTTTAATCGTGACACAACCGAACCGACAATTTGTTTTTGTTGTATATAAAAAGAGATCCGAATTTCTTTAAAGAATATTAACGTTTATCATCCTACGTTCACTTCATAAATGATTCTCATTTCAAGGACTCTTGACTGGGGTGCAAATGAAAACTCAGCAAAATTTCCTATAACTAGATAGACATGTCATGTACTGATCAACCGTGCCAGGTCTGTGTTAGAAAAAAAATATTACCTTAGTATTAAAAACACCATGTCGTAAATATTAAGGTCAACTCTACAGTGAAACAAATGAGTAAGGAATCAATAGATGAAGATACACGACAGGACGTAGACAGCAAATATCCATCAATTCAGAGAAAATGCAAAATTGAATTGCTCCTGTATTTCAGACCACCCTCCAAAAGTTGATTGGCAGCAACTTCTCTTTACAGCACAACTGTAACAAGGAAGGATTCAATGCCTCTAGTGATCAAAGAGATCGTTCTAAAGTCAGAATTGGTATTGTTAGCAATGACCAGAACCACTGCTGCTCGTGCAACTCTTTGATTGGATTTGGTATAAGAAGTCATCCAAAAGGCGCAAAATCTTGCGGAAACGAGGCACTCCATGATGGTTTAGATAATGGAGAGAAGAGTATCAAAGCCATGGGGTACATATTGCTGCAATAAAACCAAATGTTGACTACTAAGTCCGTAAATCACGTTTGTTTCACCTTGGAGACCTATTATAGTTACAAAACAGTTAGGGCAACGGTCGTCAAAAAGCCCTAAATATCTAGGTACTAAAATTCTTAGACTTCAGCCTACGAGCACATAAAAGACGTTTGCTTTTAAAAGTAACCTTAGCTTCAATAAACAAAGTTGTAGAATATTTTGGAAAGAAAATGAATGTATGACAATGAATGGTTATTAATTGCCACTTGACTTTTATGCAACAGAAACAGCAGTGTTTGGTCTCCCAAAAACTTCATTGTTTTAGACTAGAAATAACTAAAACTATTCGAAGATTCATCGGCATTGATCGATCATCGAACTTAGAATCTCTGGCAGTTACAGTGTCTTGCTATTAGAGCATGGAACTATCAAATGCCGCGTCTTTGAATGCTGAACTGATTCATCTTATCTACTTTTTTCGCTGGTAAAAGAGTGGCAAACCTGAAATAGACTCTGATTCTATCGGTTACTGGTTGATGTTTTGGCACATGCAGTGCCTGTTTTTTGCTTAATTTGCTGAAAATAGTGAAAACTAAAACTGCTACAGGTTTTTAAACCGCAAATACTCCTTTGCTAATCATTTTATTCAAGATGTCTTGTTTAACTCCTTCTGATTGAGTGAGATTGGTTCAACACAGTAGTGTTACCTCATTTATGGTTGTGTTGTAAGCTGAGAATATTGTGGTTAATTCCAGCAGAGGGGCATTTTGTTGCGCATGCGCCTTTCTGTGAGATTTTTTGGAGAAGGATGAAAGAGTATGACAAGTTTACCACCATTTCTAACTCTGCGGATACTCGTGGAGTTTGCTGGCTCTTCGGATGAGGGTATTTTAATGATCAAAGTGCGAACAAAACGCGAAAAAGGGCCGATAACTTGAGATTTAATTTGCTGACGATCAAGATGTGCACATGAGACCACAAACCTTGTAGGTTAGTCTTAAAATGTTGTTGTCTCACTTCTATGAATCATGAAGTGGTGTGTGGAGGCGATCGTGAGATATTCGTTACGATAATAGAAGGATGTTTACAATTTGACCTTATTTTACTTCAACTTTTAAATAAAATTGCGTAAGGTTCGAGGTGGCCCCCAAGCTTCAAATCACTTCAAATAAAATCTTCTCTTCTTTCTCTTTGTAGTCCCATAGGACACAAGGCTTAAAAAAATGTTCCAGCTTCAGGATTGAGTTGCTCTTTCTACAACCTTCGGCGAATTCGTTTTTGAGAGGTTGAGGTGGATTTTCCAAGTCATGGCTCACGACTGTCTTTGGCCTTCTTACTCTCCTAATCTGTTGTAATTGGTATGTAGGCATGTGTCTTAACAACGTTTATAGTCTTGCCTCGATCATCTGCGGTTTCATCTGATTTTGTTGCTGTGTTTTAGTGAAAATTTTCTAATTGCCCTTTTGGGTTTGAAGGATAAACTTCGGTAGAACTTTTTTATCACATGGCCCCCAAATTCCTCACCACTGTCAGTTCATTGTTTATTTATTTAGCTTTCGGTCTAACCAGTTCATTTACCTCAAAAAAATGCGTGGGCTTTGTATCATGAGTTTAAACTGGTGCCGTTTTCTTCATGTTCATGTGTTATACGAAATGAATTTTGAGTCGAAGTTTACTATAAAACTCGCAGATTAAAACTATCTAACTTTCTCTGGTTCTTAAAATATGAGACGAGCAATACAACAAATGGATAATTACTCAAGGGGCTAGAACTCCTTGTTTCTTTTAGAATGTTAACCACAGTATTTCTGTCGTATTTAAAAACGAATTTCGGGTTAAAATGTCTTCAGACCAGTTTGACTTGCATTTCACTTTGCCAGATAAGTCTTGATCCTTCAATTTTATTTCTTAATTGAGACTGATGGTTGGAATTAACTTTTATGTGTTCTGCTGTTTAGGGAGATGTGAAGTGACCCCACTACATATGGTTGGTACTATTGAGAGAAAGGATAGGTGTGACATTTGCTTTGGCAAGGTGGCAATCAAGAGAAAGTCATTAGTACCAGAGGCTTACTGGTATAAATTATCAATCTTTTGTTCTCTCCACACAATTTGCCTCGACTAGCCTATGCTATATGCAACTTGTTTCTATACCTGTAAAATAATCATTAAAGTTTTTGAAAGTTTTGTCCAAATTTCGTGGGAAAAGAATATGAGGAGTGATCAGGGGAAATGTTGTCTTGTTCCTTAAGAGTGTTTGAGCTTACAGTATGAGCTATAAAATTTCTTAAGTGACTGATAAATTATTATTCTGCCTTAAAATCAGCACAGCCAAACCCCTGGCTTGGAAACCATTAATTTTTGCAAATAGACATCCACGCCGATGCCCATTATTGCAGATTATGCAATGTTAAAGTCCCCTTTTGATTTAAGTCTCATTTCTCTAAAATTTGATAGATTTAAATCATCCATTTTCATATAGAGACCAACAAACCTCTCCACATTAGTTTAATCTGACCTCATTTAGTCTTATTCCTGTTAAAAAAAAAGGGCTTTTGGAAATATTTTGTTTTTTATCCTCACTATTAAATATCGGCCTTACTGGTTCTTTGTTGTTTGGCATGTATAAGAGTCTCTTCAGACCATCAAATTGTCATACAACTCTTGTAATTTGATAGGATGGAGGATAAGGTTGCAAAGAGTGTATATGATTCTGTTGTGCAGTTGAAATTATAAATAAATGTGATTTTTGTCTGGTAATAATTAATTTTTTTAACTATTCATCTCACAACTGGGAGCCCAAACTAGTACTTGCTTTTATTCACAATTTCCCCACATCATTGATTATATCTGATGATATTTCTGAGACTAATAATTGAAAAGACTTTACCTTACTCTGATAAAATCAATAATTATTCCTCCATTTCTAACCAGATGGAGCTACCATATCTCTAGCACTAACGTTGTCTTACTTTTCTTTACTCGACATTGGCCTTTTTTTTATTTTGGTAATCAGCCCTGCCGGTTGTGATTCATGTCAAAAAAAAACTTTTGAAACAAAACATAAACTTCTGTAAGTTTTTGCCAAAATTGGAAGTACAGTGCACAAGCAGTACAGATGAAGCTCTAAAAAACGCTTACAGGAAGGCGAGTACTTCAAATGATCACCGATAACTTGAGAGAGCAATGACGCGATAAAAGTATACTATCCAATTCGTTTGTGCTCTTCGACAGGCCACTGGCATCCTTCAAAAATAACATCATCTACATCGATCGCCCAAACAATCACAAGACACGACTCGAAGTCGTTTGTACAATCTTTTGCATTTTGAAAATAACTTCCTTCCACACATCACACAATAATTTTAAGACTTTGTCGCTTCCATTTAAGTAACAAGAAAAAATGAGAAGAAGGGTTGTCTCAAATACTCGAGCCATTGTTTTTTCCGACGTACTTCCCTGCTTCTTTTCTTTCGCGATTCTTGAGCGGGAAACCTACGCAGGCGCATACAAGCGGTTTCTCGTATCAAACTAAAATTTAAAGAACATGCGCGAAATAAAGGCCCCTCTGCTGTTAATTCCTAGTTTCATTAGGCTTTATTGTTGCTGTAGTCTGTGTCCAATCTTTAAAGTATCGTCTGATTGGTCCTATAACTAACCGTTCAAGATGTTGGAAAATACTATGCCACGGCAAGTTCAATTTCTAGTTGTACCTTGTTGGTATCATAGCCATCGAAATGTCTCCGGCCAAAAATATTTGTAGTAGCATTAACACATCAAAACTCGTACTGAAAAGTGTTTGCCACGGTGGCAAACAAGTGAAAGACAAAATAGTTAGCACTGTACGAAATTTCGAAAGTGGATTCCATTTCCTTCGTTATGATCAACTTCCTTTTTGTTTTCCTAATAGTTTTACGCCTCCTGTGTTGAACTTGATGTTTGGCAAAATGTTGCTGGAAATTGAGAAGAATGTGTGTCCTACAAGAAGTTTCTAGCACCAAACTACTCAGTGTTAGTATGGTAATTCGACAAGTTTAATTAATTCAGGTGTTTAGTACAATGTCATGCAGAAATGGAATTACATGATGCAATACCTTTACCTGATAATAGTATAGACGAAAAAAAAAATTCAATTCGTATTGCCCAAGAAAAATGCACCTTTTAAGAAATACGATGCAGGAAAAAGAAATCTAGTTCAGAAGTAGGGTATTTTAGCGATAGATTGTGTGTCCTCCACCGTCCCAAATAAATCATCGCAGCTCGACTTTAATCATGATTCTCCCACACATCTCAACCGACGCATATCAAACTGCTCTCTGAATTGTTTGACTCGAAGCTCCATCTGTGCCTTTTTCAAGTTAACTGGGTTTAAATGGCGGGATTCAAATGAAGGGCTGGCCTAAGTTTTTAAAAAATTGGATCGTGACGCCATGTTTCATGAAGTCATGGTACAGACAAACTGTCTATGAATCGGACTGTTTTTAAGGTTGCACCTCTGGGAACAATTTTTCCACCTACAGCAAATGCGTTTTCTTTTTAACCGTGGCCATAAATGTCATAAACAAAAATGTGGGATTAAAACGTGGGGCTAACCTAATTTTTAATCGTCGACTGGTATCCTCTCGTAACAGTGGATAGAGTTTTATTGAAGGCATTTGGGCTTGTTTATCACACATGAAGTGATCACGTGACATGTTAACCAACAGAATTTCTCAAATTAGGCTTCCATGTTCTAGTGTTTTGAATATATACTTAGCGCTTCGTGTCTTTTAAGAGACTCAGCCTAGTCACTAATACCTTTTAAGGTTAGTCATAAAAGTCGTTGAACGGTGAACAATGCGCTCGAAGTCGCTTTCAGACAATTTATTGTATAGCTGCGACTTATATATCATTCGTTAAAAAAGTAAACCCACATAATTCTTATTTTTTAATAATGCTTATTTTTAATTAAAATTAGATAGATATGATAACGTTTATGTATACGCCCATAAGATAAAATTCACATACAATAAAAA